GGATGTGGAAAAAAGGGAACCCTTTTGCACTGCTGGTGGGAATGCAAACTGGTGCAGCCACTCTGGAAAACAGTGTGGAGGATCCTCAAAAAATTAAAAATAGAACTACTCTACAACACAGCAGTTGAATTACTAGGTATTTATCCGGAGGATACAAAAATGCTGATTAAAAGGGGCACATGTACTCCAATGTTTATAGCAGTACTATCGACAATAGCCAAAATGTGGAAAGAGCCCAAATGTCAATTGACTGATGAATGGATAAAGAAGATGTGGTATATACGTTCAGTGGAATATTACGTGGCAATCAGAAAGAATGAAATCTTGCCATTTACAACAGCATGGACAGTGTATTATGCTAAGCTAAGTAAGTCAGGGAAAGACAAATATCATATGATTTCACTCATATGTGGAGTTTAAGAAACAAAACAGATAAACATAGGGGAAGAGAAGCAAAAATAATACAAAAACAGAGGGAGACAAACCATAAGAGACTCTTAAATACAGAGAATAAACCAAGGGTTGCCGGCAGGGTGATGGGTGGGGGAAGGGCTAAAGGGGTGAGGGGCATTAAGGAAAACATCGGTTGGGATGAGCACTGGGTGTTACATGTACGTGATGAATCACTAAATTCTGTCCCTGGAGATAATTGAATGAATGAATGAAGTGTGATGTATATATACAGTAGATTATTATTCAGGAAAAGAAGGAGAAAAAAAATCCTGTTTAGTGGAAGGTATAAACTTCCAATTATGATTAAGTCATGGGATGGTAATGTACAGCATGGTGACTATAGCTAATATTGTATTGAGTATTGGAAAGTTGCTAAGAGGGTATATCTTTTTTTTTTTTTTTAAGTTTATTTATTTATTTTGAGAGATAGCAGTAGCAGGGGAGGGGCAGAGAGAGAGGGAGAATCCCAAGCAGGCCCACGTTGTCAGCAGGGACCCTAATGTGGAGCTCAAACCCACGATGTGTGGCCCAAACTCACAAACCATGAGATCGTGACCTGAGCCAAAATCAAGAGTTGGATGCTTAATGGGCTGAGCCACCAAGGCGCCCCTTATAATAAGACTTTAAAGATATACCTCTTGGTGTGCCAAGAGTTCAAGCCCTATGTCAGGCTCGGAGCTGACAGTGCAGGGCCTGCTTGGGATTCTCTCTCTCCCTCTCTCTTTCTCTCTGCCTGCCCCTCCACCGCTTGCGCTCTCTCTCTCTTTCAAAATAAATTAAAAAATAAACATTAAAAAAAAATGTCTCATTACAAGAAAAACTGAACTGTGTATGGTGATAAGTATTAACCAGACTTACTGTAATGATCATTTCACAGTACATACAAACCTCAAATCTTTGTGTGTATAACACTATAGTTGATCCTTGAATAATGTGGAGTGTCAGGGTGCCTATCTCCTGTGTAAAAATCCATGTATAACTTTTGACTCCCCAGAACTTAAATCACTAAGAGCTTACTGTTGACCAGATGCCTTACCATAACAATTAACACATATTTTGTATATGTATTATATACTCTAATCTTACAATGAAATAAGCCAGAGTAAAGAAACTGTTAAGAAAACTATAAAAAAGAGAAAATACATTTACAGTACTGTACTAAAAAAATTCATGTATAAATAGGACTGTGCAGTTCAAACCTGTGTTGTTCAAGGCTCAACTAAAATGTCATATGTCAGTTGTACCTCAATTAAAAAAAATTCGTACTTTTTATTATTATAAAATCAGTAACATACTTACACAGGGCCCCTGAGCACATTTTACTAAATTTTCAACCGGGTAATTTTTGCTTCCAAACCTTAACGAAGTCAAGTACCCAGATCTACAAGCTATTTCTGAAAAAGAAAGAAAAAAGACTTCATATCTAAGTACAAGTTCCAAAGTGTAGTCAGTCCTCATTATTTATTGATTCCAAACTCGCAAATTCACCTGTTGCTACAATTAACTTGTAACCCCAAACACAGTACTTGGGGCACTTCTGTGGTCATTTGCAGACATTTGAGTCACCTGAGATGCACATTCCCAGCTGATGTTGAACAAGGCAACACTCTGCCTTCTTGTTTCAATTCTCATACAGTAAAGAAATGTCCTTTTTGTGGTTTATTTAGTACCCCATTTTTCACATTTTTGTGTTGTTTTTTTTTTTTGTTGGCGACTTCACTGTTTAAAATGGCCTCCAAATGGAGTGCTAAAGTGCTGTCCAGTGTCCGTAAGCACATGAAGGCTGTGATGGACCTTATGGAGAAATGACAGTGTTAGCACAAGTTGTAGTGCTGTTGGTTATGAGTTCAATGTTAATGAGTCAACAATATATATTAAATAAGGAATCTTTAAACAGAAACACAGTCAAAATAATCAGTTAATAAAAATGTGACCAGAAGCTCAAAGGAATCTAACCGTGTATTTTCCTGAGGAGCAATGTTTTAGCATTTGCTAATTCAGTGTTCACGGTGACTTCTTGGAACACGACTACCACAGATAATGAGAATCGACTGTACGTTGTTTCCTTAGTTTTACTGGTGGAGACAAGAACTACTTTTTCTGCTGAAACAAATGTTCATCTGAAGGAGATAATCAAACCATCAGTGACTTGTTTCAGTGCCATGTTTCTGTGTTGCACGGGATGTAGTGACTTGATTCTCTCCTTGGAGAGCTGGATACTGGGTTCGCTGTACTTGGTGTTGGTGGCACACTGTGTTGATGGGAAAAGGTGGACTACAGAGGAAAGTACACAGATTCATAGTAATATTGCATTAAATCTAATATGGTGGTGGAAAATGTTGCTTCATGTTACAAAGGATGTTACAAACTCTGACCCAGTAAATTCTCCTTTTAGGAATCTGTCCTAAGGAAATAATCCAAAATTCAGACAGATTTATGCACAGAGATCTTTCTGTTTAGACTTGCTTGTTATAGAAGAATTGGAAACAATGCATGCCCAGAAGTAAAAGAATGGTTATATAAAGTAGGGAGCATCTCTTTAATTTTATATAATGCTGTACTTGAAAATGTTAGAGTTGATAAGATATGGGTATAATGTTAGTGGTATGATATATAAGGAAAAAGCTGTATTCAAAATGGAATATACATTGTGACCTTAGTTTTTGCCTACAGATAATACATAAGAAAAAATTGGAAAGAAATATACAAAAACAATAGCAGAGATTATTCCTACTTCCTCTGGTAGTAGGAATTTTGGGTGGGTTCCCCCCCTCCTCTCCCTCCCTGTTGCTTCAGTGAGAATCTGTTCCTCTTAAATTCAGGAAGAAGTGGTGTAAAAAGAATGTCATACACAATGCAAATTACGATTGTGACCATTAACTTAGATAAATCATGTTATGTGATTTTAGCTACTGAAGCTGAAGGAGATGTGCCAGAGCTTTATCATCAAAGAAAAGGAGAAATAGCAAGATGCTGGATCAAATATTGTTTGACTCTCCTGCAGAATGCCCAGCTTTCCATGCAGGTAATGCCTTTTCTTTCTAAAATAAGCAGGATGTAAGTAAAAGCCTAAACTGGGAATTATGCCCATTGGGCTCATTGCATGTTTATTATGCAAAACATGCAGAATGCTCTCAAATATTTCTAGCTCTCCCATCTCTGCCTTTTAGAATCTTAGTGTTCAAGGTCCATCTCAAATACCACTTCTTCCTTAGAGACTCTTCTTTGGATAGAATATAAATTTCTTGAGAGGTGGGACTGCATCATATTCATATTATCATTATCTCCAGGCATTATAGGTTCTCAGTAAATTAATTGTTCAGTGAGTAATTCTTCATATTGTACAGATATCATTTCTCTCCTTTAAACTCCATAGAACTTTCATTGCCTTTCATAAATCACTTAGATTTTGCTTTGTATTAGCTCTGTTCATATTTGTATCTTATTCCTTCACCTCTTTTTAGACTATAAGCAATTTGAGGGTAGGAAACAATTCTCACTAACCTTTATACACTTTATACAGTATATAAGTATATTTATATTATTTTTAGAAAAATATATATCTGGAAACAGCCCTGCCAGTTTATAGCTGTATGTGTGTGGCAATTTGCTTAAACTCTCTTTGTCTCAATATTATCACAAAGAAGATGGAAATAATAATAGTACTTACTTAGGGTGCTTGGGTGGCTCAGTCGGTTAAGCATCCAACTTTGGCTCAGGTCTTGATCTCATGGTTTGTGAGTTCGAGCCCCATATCGGGCTCTGTGCTGACAGCTCAGAGCCTGGAGCCTGCTTCCGATTCTGTGTCTCCCTTTCTCCCTGCCCCTCCCCTGCTCTGTCTCTCTCAAAAATAAATAAACATTAAAACATTTTTTTAAATAATAGTACTTAATATTGTTATCAGAGTTAAATTAATATATATGCAAAGGGCTCAGAAAAGTGCCCTAGACATACTAAGTCCTCAATAAATGTTAATGGTTATCATCATCATTACTAATCCATACTGAATCCTAGTTTCTAACCACTAAGGAGAAAAATAAATCATTTGGTTGCAATATACTAAGTGTAGATACATAGAAGACTTTCCTGGAGGAGTAATGCTTTTTTTTTTTTTTTTGCATGCATGCATGCATTAAAATACAATAAGTTTTACTAGCACTAATATAGAACCTATTAAACCAGTAGATGAAATGAAACTAAACAAACAAATCACAAAACCCCAGAAGGATATGTCGTGCAAAGATTAGAGCATTTTAGAGGTAGAGGGTAAAGATGAGGCATATTTGGGAAAGAAAGGAAGTGGGGAGAACTGGGAGTCTTTCGTCTAGAGAAGTTGGAGCCAGGAAGAGCTGTCGGCTTTCTTCTGCTCAGAAAGTGGTCTAAAAAACATGTAAACAAACAAGCAGCCTGAAAGCAAGTGAGTAAATACAATTTTGGAGACATAGGGCTTGGGTTTGAAATAATTGTGTGAGGTAAAATACACTGTAATTTAACTCATACCCTTCCTTTAGTTGATATTTTCCAGACTGGACACTAGAACTTATCACCTGCTTACTTTAAACTCAAATAGTTGCCAGCTATTGAATTACTCAGATTTTCCTTAATCTGACTGTTAGTTTGATTTCATCCTTCGATCATCTTTTTACCTGAAAAGTGTTCTTCAATCCAAGCTTAAGACCTACACAAATTTATTTATGCCAGCTCTATGCTAGTCATTGTCCTGTGATGAAGAAGAATAGACCCGGCTTTTTACTTCACGTAAAAGTGCAACTTTGATAAGTCCACAGAGGAGAGACCCATGATGGAAGACATAATAGGAGGAAGTAACATTTGAAGCAAGCTCTGGGAATGAGTAGAAATTAGTTAGACTGGAGAAAAGAAGGCACAGCATTCCAACCAGCCGAAACAGCATGTTCTGTGGCACAGGGAGTGTGAATTAGACAGGATGGAACAAAGGCCTGTGAGTCTGGAGTGGAGTGAGAGAGCAGGTGATAGAAGACAGAGGCAGAAAGGAGCTGGAATGAGCAGGGCCTTCGAGGAATGAAGACTTAAAGGGTTTGGGGACAATCATTTAGGTAGCAGAATGGAGAATAAATTGGGAAGCAACAGTGGAGGAGGGTGATTAGTTAGAAGACCACTGGAACAGTCTAGGTGAGATGTGAAGGGAGCTTGATCTAGGGTGGTGGCAGAAGAGAAAGAAGAGAGAATGGATTCCAGAGGTATTTAGGAAGCAAAATGTAAAGGACTTGGTGATAGATTGAATGTGAAGGATAAAGGGGAGAGCAGAGGGACATCTCAAGGAGGATTCCTAGGTTGTTGGCTGTCCGTGTTCATGGAGGCTTCTTCACTAAAACAACACTAGGACAGGAAACTGCTGAAGAAGAATAGAGTTCCATTGTGGACATCCCGTGGACGCAGAACCTCTGAGTGTTCTTACAGGAGAGGTCATACAGGGAGCTGTAGTTACGGGTCTGGAGCTTGAGAAGAGGTGTGGGCTGTAGCCATACATTTATAGCTATACATCCTCCCATGGATGGCAGTTGCAGCCATGGGTGTGAACAGAGTCACCTGTAGAGCAGCGCTGTCCAATAGAAATAGAATACCAGCCATGTATGTAATTTTCAAAAAATTTTTTGGTTTATTTATTTATTTTGAGAGAGTAGGGGAGGGGCAGAGAGAATCCTGAACAAGTTCTGTGCCCTCAGCACAGAGCATGATGCAAAGCTCAAACTCACAGACTGTGAGTTTAAGACCTGAGCTGAAACCAGGAGTTGGACACTTAACCAACTGAGCCACCCAGGCACCCCTGTAATTTTCAATTTTCTAATAGCCACGTTATAAAAGAAAAAAAGGTGAATTAATTTTATATTCTTTAAGCCCAGAATATAAAAAAATTGTTATTTCTATAAGTCATCAGTATTAAAGAGATTTAAAATTATTTTTGTATTAAGTTTTAGAAATTGGGTGTATATTTTATACATACAGCCCACATCTCAGTTTGAACTTCCCACATTTCCAATGCCCAGTAGTTATCCAAATGTGGCCAATGGCTACTGTTCTGAACAGTGCAGATCTAGGGACAATGTTGAGTGGAAGGAACAAAGGGCTTGGGGGTTGAGCACAGAGGGATCTGATGTTCATGTTCAGTTTTATTGAGGAGGATGAGCTTAGTCTATTTTTTTTTAATTTTTTTTTTAAAAATTTTTTTTTTTTCAACGTTTATTTATTTTTGGGACAGAGAGAGACAGAGCATGAACGGGGGAGGGGCAGAGAGAGAGGGAGACACAGAATCAGAAACAGGCTCCAGGCTCTGAGCCATCAGCCCAGAGCCTGACGCGGGGCTCGAACTCACGGACCGCGAGATCATGACCTGGCTGAAGTCGGACGCTTAACCGACTGCGCCACCCAGGCGCCCCTTTAATTTTTTTTTTTTTTATTTTTTTTGTTAACGTTTATTTATTTTTGAGACAGAGAGCATGAACGGGGGAGGGTCAGAGAGAGAGGGAGACACAGAATCGGAAGCAGGCTCCAGGCTCTGAGCCATCAGCCCAGAGCCGGACGCAGGGCTCGAACTCATGGACCGTGAGATCGTGACCTGAGCTGAAGTCGGACGCTTAACCGACTGAGCCACCCAGGCGCCCCAAACTTAGTCTATTTTTTAAACCATTTTACTTTTTTTTTTCCCCTGAGAAGTAGGGGAGATAACTTTAACTGTGATGGTAGATTAAACTGTATCTTCACTTTAGTGTCTTTGAGACCTAGAACGTTTCTCTGCATTTCACTAAATACCTTCTAGCATAAATATCATATCATTAATCTTAATGGTGTCTCTGTGAAATATTAAAAAAATTTTTTTAATGTTTATTTTTGAGAGAGAGAGTGTGTATGAGCAAAGGAGGGCAGGGAGAAAGGGAGACACAGAATCTGAAGCAGGCTCCAGGCTCTGAGCTGTCAGCACAGAGCCCAACACGGGGCTCGAACTCATGAACTGGGAGATCATGACCCGAACTGAAGTCAGAGGCTTAACCGACTGAGCCACCCAGGCACACCTCTGTGAAACATTTTAGGATGTAGATTATAGTCTTACATATGTATAATGTTTCAGAGTCTCTAAAGTTCTTTCATATGCATTTGTCTTACCTGAAGAAGAAACTATAAATAAGTTTTAGTTCTCCAAAGAGGAAAGTCATATGTAAGCAGCTTAATTTATTTAAATAATTTTTCCTATTTCTTACATTTTTTAAAAATGTTTATTTGTTTTGAGAGACAGTGCGAGCAGGGGTGGGGCAGGGAGAGAGGGAGACACAGAATTCAAAGCAGTTTCCAGGCTCTGAGCTGTCAGCACAGGGCCTGATGCGGGGCTCGAACTCATGAACTGCAAGATCATGACCTGAGCCAAAGTCGGACGCTCAATGGACTGACTGAGTCACCTAGGCGCCCCCTCTTACATTTTTTTAAATTTACCACTTTAACCATTTTTTAAAGTTTATTAATTTATCTTGAGAGAGACAGAATGAGTGGGGGAGGGGTAGAGAGAGAGAATCCCAAGCAGGCTCCATGCTGCCAACGCAGAGCCTGATGAGGTGCTCAAACTCAGGAAACTGTGAGATCATGACTTGAGCCGAAACCAAGGGTTGGACCCTCAACCTACTGAGCAACCCCAGCGCCCCTGTTTCTTACATTTTTAATACAAGTGAAATATAATTAGAAGAAAGTTTTAAAAGGTATTTAAGATTATAGTACTTCCTGGGGTGCATGGGTGGGTCAGTTGGTTAAGGATCCAACTCTTGATTTCAGCCTAGGTTTTTGTTTTTTTTTTTTTTTAATTTTTTTTTTCAACGTTTATTTATTTTTGGGACAGAGAGAGACAGAGCATGAAGGGGGGAGGGGCAGAGAGAGAGGGAGTCACAGAATCGGAAGCAGGCTCCAGGCTCTGAGCCATCAGCCCAGAGCCTGACGCGGGGCTCGAACTCACGGACCGCGAGATCGTGACCTGGCTGAAGTCGGACGCTTAACCGACTGTGCCACCCAGGCGCCCCTCAGCCTAGGTTTTGATCTCACAGTTTGTGAGTTCAAGCCCCGACTCAGGCTCTGTGCCACAGGGCAGAACCTACTTGGAGGAGTTCTCTCTCTCCTATCTCTCTGTCCTGCCCCCTGCTTGCATGCTAGCATGCATGTGTGCACGTTCTCTCTCTCAAAATAAATAAACATTAAAAAAAAAAAAAAAGATTATAGTATCTCTTTAACTCCAGCTGGAAGAGGGCTTTCTTTTCTTTACTCTTAAGTTTGCCATATTATTTGAGAGCAGGAGATCAGTGTCCTACCTAACCATAATTTATGTTTTTGTTTCAGGACAACATAGGAGAGCTTGATCTTGATAAACAGTCTGAACTTAGAGCTTTGAGGAAAAAGGAACTAGATGAGGAAGAAAGCGTGAGGAAAAAAGCTGTGCAGTTTGGAACCGGTGAGCTGTGTGATGCCATCTCTGCGGTGGAAGAGAAAGTGAGCTATTTGAGACCTTTAGATTTTGAAGAAGCCAGAGAACTTTTCTTATTGGGTCAACACTATGTCTTTGAGGCAAAAGAGTTCTTTCAGATTGATGGTTATGTCACTGACCATATTGAAGTTGTCCAAGACCACAGTGCTCTGTTTAAGGTGCTTGCATTCTTTGAGACCGATATGGAGAGACGGTGCAAGATGCATAAACGTAGAATAGCCATGTTAGAGCCCCTCATTGTAGACCTGAATCCACAGTATTACCTGTTGGTCAACAGACAGATTCAGTTTGAGATTGCACATGCTTACTATGATATGATGGATTTGAAGGTTGCCATTGCTGACAAGCTGAGGGATCCTGATTCACACATTGTGAAAAAAATAAATAATCTTAATAAGTCAGCACTGAAGTACTACCAGCTCTTTTTAGACTCCCTGAGAGACCCAAACAAAGTATTTCCTGAGCATATAGGGGAAGATGTTCTTCGCCCTGCCATGTTAGCTAAGTTTCGAGTTGCCCGTCTCTATGGCAAAATCATCACTGCAGATCCCAAGAAAGAGCTAGAAAATTTGGCAACATCATTGGAACATTACAAATTTATTGTCGATTATTGTGAAAAGCACCCTGAGGCTGCCCAGGAGATAGAAGTTGAGCTAGAACTTAGTAAAGAGATGGTGAGTCTTCTTCCAACAAAAATGGAGAGATTCAGAACCAAGATGGCCCTGACTTAATAATCCTTGTTTTTAATGAAAGAAAATGTGCAATATTAAAGAGAGTTTCTCCCTTAGTCAAACAGGCTCAATTCCATTGTGAAGTTTACCTTTATAGCCAGGTGAGTGTAGTTTGAACTTGAGATAACAGACCAGTTGAGTTTTTGCTAGGACCTTAATCAACATAAAGATAATAATTTATCCCTAATTATGTAAATTGCCTTGTTAAGGTGATGTGTGATTGGTATGTTAGATTGCTTATTTCCTATTTAAGTAGAAACCTTTCTGACTCAGTTTTCTAAAGGTAGGTTCTTTGTTGGCTAGTACTTGATAGCTTTATTAAGAAGAAAAATTCTGTAGTTATATACCGGTAGACAAGCCTGTTAATTGAAAAGTAACTTCCTGTAGTTATTCTTCCCCAAATATTTACTTTCCTAATTTCCAGAGAAATCTTTCGTTTTCTGAAAACATCAAAAAACTAAGTTATGTTGTAAAGTACTGTAAAGTAGTCGTCTCATTTATAGAGGGAAAAGGCCTTGCTGGAAAATAATAAATTGACTTGTTTCACTAATAAAAGCTTCCATTTATTCTTTTGTTTTCTTACAAGAATTAGTTTTATTTTTGATACTTCAAAGGTATTCCTTTATTTGAAGCCAAAGAATGATATTTCTTTGGCATCATTGCACAGTTAGAAAACACTAAAATCTCATCCATTGAAGAATATTTGAGATCCTGTCTGTGCCAGAAAAATCTTATTGGTTGAGTTTCTTATCAGAGAATTTTGGTAAGTTTATAAACTTTTAAGCACTATTAAACAAAGGATATGTACTGCAAAATAACATTGATAATATATGTTAGTCATTTCAAGAAATGCAGAATTGAAATGGAGTCTCTATCCAGCATAAAAATCAAGATCAGTTGTAAGATTTGATACAGAGGATAGCTCTGAATTTGCCTCAGAAAGCCTAGGATTCAGTCAACTCTAAGATTCTATAACATTTATGTATGTGTGATAAACACCTTGCTTTTCCTCTGAGATCAATTTGTCAGGAGAAAAAAAATCTGAGTATAAAAGCAATGTGTAACTCACTCAATATTTAATATTCATTATTAAATGTTTACTGTGGATCAGGTACTGTTATCACTTTTCTAAGCATAAAGGATACAGTGATGAACAAGATAAAGAAGGTCCTGCTCTCATGGAGCAAGCAAACAAATAAGCAAAATGATTTCAGGTCATGAGTGCTGCTAAGGAAGGAACCAGAGTGATGTGGTAAACATTTAATGAGAAGGGGTGCCTACTTTAGCTATAGAGATCTGGAAAGGCCTCTGAAAATGTAGAAGGTGACATTGAGAACTAAATGGGGAAAAAAGGCAGTAAAGATTCTTTGGTAGAGTATTCCAGAGAGTGCTAGGCCCTCAGGCTGGAACAAATTTAGGAAAGGATTTGGGAAAGGCCACTGTGGCTAGAACAGATGGGGGTTGTGGAGTGAGGTGGAGTGGGCAGGAGGAGAGAGTCCAAATAGAGATGGTTTTGTAGAGGAGAAGTTTGAATTTTATTGTAGGTACAGTAGAAAACCTTTGTAGAATTTTTTTTTTTTTTTTAACGTTTATTTATTTTTTTGGGACAGAGAGAGACAGAGCATGAACAGGGGAGGGGCAGAGAGAGAGGGAGACACAGAATCAGAAACAGGGTCCAGGCTCTGAGCCATCAGCCCAGAGCCCGACCTGGGCTCGAACTCACGGACCGCGAGATCGTGACCTGGCTGAAGTCGGACGCTTAACCAACTGCGCCACCCAGGCGCCCCTAAAACCTTTGTAGAATTTTTAAAGGAGCATGGCATGATCTGATTGGCATATGTAAGAAACCACTCCAGGCTGCTGGCTGGGGAGGGAATAGACTGGAGGAGTAGGGGAAGACACCAGAGAGGTAAGAGGGAGACAAGCTAGATTCTGTTAAGATTAATCTGAGTGGTTTGGACTAGGGTGATAAAGTAGGAATGGAGAGAAGTGGATAAATTCGTTATGTACTTTGGAAATAGAATCACATGACATGCTAAAGGATTAAATGTAGGTCATGAGGGGAAAAGAAGAATCAAGAACCATATTAAGTTGAAGTGTGCAGGAGAAGCATGTTTTTAGGAGGGAATGGGGAGTTAGAATTAAAGAGTTCTGCTTAGGTCATGTGGAGTTTAGGATGTGAAGATGCTTGAAATAAAATGATTTCTGATAATATTCCTTAATTAGACTTGAAAGTGAAGAGGATCCAGATGGGAGGGAGGGTTCCTGGGGGTAGTGACAATGAGTCTGCATCTCAACTACTCTGAGTTCTTCAACTCTCTTGTGAGAACTGGTTCTAGAACAGATCCCTCTGTTATAAGCCTCTCTTGATCTAGCCATTTTGCTACCAACCTTATTCAACTTTGTAACTTCATTTATCTAGTCATTCATTATTTGTTTAACAAATGCTGAGGTCTTTCTGTGCACTAGTCATTGTTTTAAGCTCTGAAAGACACAGCCCCTTCAACCTTGATCATTCTTCTTCTTCGCAACTGTGTTTTTCAGCTTGAGTTCAAAAGATAAAACTCAGGGCGCCTGGGTGGCTCAGGTCATAATCTTGCAGTTCATGGGTTGGAACCCTGCACTGATCTCTGTGCTGACAGCTCAGAGCCTGGAGCCTGCTTCAGATTCTGTCTGTCTGTCTCTCTCTCTCAAAAATAAACATTAAAAAAAATTTTTTTAAATAAAATTCAGTTTTTTTTTTTAATTTTTTTTTTTTTTTTCAACGTTTATTTATTTTTGGGACAGAGAGAGACAGAGCATGAACGGGGGAGGGGCAGAGAGAGAGGGAGACACAGAATCGGAAACAGGCTCCAGGCTCTGAGCCATCAGCCCAGAGCCCGACGCGGGGCTCGAACTCCCGGACCGCGAGATCGTGACCTGGCTGAAGTCGGACGCTTAACCGACTGGCCACCCAGGCGCCCCTAAATAAAATTCAGTTTTAACAGGCACTGGTTAAAACCAGTCTTTATCCTACTAGCCATCAACATACTCTACTATTTGTCATTTGCTGTCTGCAATGACTGTTCATATTTTAAAACTGCGTCCTTAGTTATCAGCAGAAAAGCTAACTGGCTGTTTTGTGATGCTGCATTCTATACGCATGGCCTCCTCTACAAACTGCTTTTCCTGAGCCTGGCTTCCCAAAGACAGCTGTTCATTATTCTAGGCTAATTTTACAAAATCTTACATGAAATACTTATAACCCAGAATCCTTAGCAGTGTTGGCAGCATGATAGAATTTGGGCTAGAGGCAGTGACCTATCAAAGCCATAGATTTATTTCAAATAACCTTTTATTCCTCTTTTCCTCATCCCTAAAACCAATTACTGGGGGCAAAGACTACATACTGAATAAAAAAATTGTAGGGTTTGGGTGCCTGGGTGGCTGTCAGGTGGGCTTCCAACTTTGGCTCAGGTCATGATCTCATGGGTCGTCAGTTCGAGCCCCATGTCCCTCTCTGTGCTGACAGCTCAGAGCCTGGAGCCTGCTTCAGATTCTGTGTCTCCCTCTCTCTCTGCCCCTGCCCCCCTCATGCTCTCTCTCTCTCTCTCTCAAAAATAAACATTAAAAAAAATTGCGGCTTGGGCCCTTGGGTGGCTCAGTCAGTTAAGCATCCCATTTCAGGTCAGGTCATGATCTCTTGGTTTGTGAGTTTGAGCCCTGCATTGGGCTCCACACTGTCAGTGCTTGGAATTCTCTCTCTCTCCCTCTCTCTCTGCCCCACTCCCGTGGTCTCTCTCTCTCTCTCTCATTCTCTCTCAAGATAAACTTAAAAAAATAAAACTTTAAAAAAATTGCATTTTTTTGGGACATAGAAGTCCTTTGCGATTGTCTTTTCAACCTTGCTAGATTTAGACAACTAGTAAGATAAAGGCATTGTTCATTCATTCACTTATTCAACAATTGTGTATTGAATGCCTGCTATCAGAAGACTGCATGGTACCTGTCAGTCCTGAACAGTCATCTGAGAAGAGCACTGAAATCTATATGATTTTAGGGTCTTCCAGACAGTATAGGTTATGTTTTGGGGGAAATCCTAGTTATTAAGCACAGGTATTTTCTTTTATTCCAGTTTAGTTAACATACAGTGTTATATTAGTTTTAGGTGTACAATATAGTGATTCAACAATTCCATACATCGCTCAGTGTTCATCATGAAAAATGCACTGCTTAATCCCATTATCCATTTCACCTATCCCCCCCTACTTCTCCTCTCCTAACCATCAGTTCTCTGTTGTTAAGAGTCTGTTTCTTGGTTTGTCTCTTTTTCGATTTGTTTGCTTGCTTTGTTTCTTAAATTCCACATATGAGTGTGAGTGAAATCGTACTTGTCCTTCTCTGACCAACCTTTTCTATTCAGCATTATACACTCCAGGTCCATCGATGCTATTGCAAATGATAAGACTTCCCCCTTTAAAAAACAAAAAAAGATTTTAACAATTATTTTTAAGTAATCTCTGTACCCAGTGTGGGGCTCGAACTCAAAATCCCAAGATCAAGAGTCACATGGTCCACCAAATAAGCCAACCAGGCTCTAAGACTTTAACCTTTTTAATGGCCAAGTAGTGTTCCATTAGATAGATAGATAGATAGATAGATAGATAGATAGATAGATAGAGATATATCTCACATCTTCTTTATCCATTCATCAATCAGTGGGCACTTAGGCTGCTTCCATAACATGGCTTTTGTAAATAATGCTGCAATAAACATAGGGGTGTGTATATCCTTTCAAATTATTATTTCTAAATGTTTATATATTTATTTTCAGAGAGAGAGCAAGCACACCTGTTCAGGTGGGAGGGTCAGAGAGAGGGGGAAAGAGAGAATCCCAAGCAGGCTCTGCACTGTCAGCACAGAGCCCAATGTGGGGCTTGATATCACGAACTGTGAGATTATGACCTGAGCTGATACCAAGAGTCGGATGCTTAATTGACTGAGCCACCTAGGTGCCCTGC